GAGATACTGTAACAATGGACATCTTAGAAACCAACAAAAAGGTGAACGTTCATTGCCTTTGCAGATTGTCATCCGAAGCGTGTGAAGTCATATGCAAATCATTCTTATTCAACAAATATGAGCATTGAAATAGTTGCAAATATTAAATGTTTCCCAAATTGAATTAAACTCATTTTACTGGTATAGCAACATTGACAAATGATCTTCCGTCCTCATCTACCTCGATGGCAGAGATAATAATAGAAAACATTTGACAAAACATTCTCCATTATCAAATAGTCAACGACATGCAACTTTATTATAACAATGACTGTGAATGTACATTAAATTTGATTTTCAGTGTTATCATATCTGAGCTCTGGCGCGCTATAAGTTACTTCGGTTCATAGAAACGAAATATATGCATTTCACCAATAATTAAAAACAAAAAACAATTTATATCTTCCCAAAATATTAAAATATTACTAACTATCCTTACATGATCCATAAACAAAGATTCATAACCATAGAAAATAAGTTGGATTGGATATATTTATTAATTTTAGGGAATTCTTATTCAAATGAAGGCGAATTTGCGGCAATTGGTGTCACAGACATCGATCGTTTATACTGAATAGAAGATCGACGTACTCGCAAATGAAGTTCCTGTGTTAGTTTGTGCTTTTTAAAAGCTTTAAAACAATTAGCGAGATATCAAATTTGACTCGTGATCGTAGACACTTGAACTTAAGCCCCGAAATACATTTGTGAATTGGCGACACTATATTTGCCATCATTGTCTGCTTTGATGTCTGGCCAACATCTGACGGTATCACAGTCAAAATTGGCGATCTGTGGTGACAGCTTTCGCTGTGGCTGCACCATGATTATGGAATACTCAGTGTACAGTGTACCAATTAATTTAAGCGCATATTGAGACATATTCTTTTAAATTAAGAAAATTCTCAAAATATGAATATTTATCTTCTACTTCTTATTATATGATATAGTTGCTAGGCGCTGGTCTTGTGCTTCAACAATCAGTCCTTCTGTTTCTGTTTTGAGTCCAACACTTTTCAGCCATTGATTTGTCTCGTGTTAGTTAACTTTTGCCTCTTTCAATTCATTCGGATACTTAACATGCATTACCCTCTCTTCCAGTTCATTTGCATATCATTTTCATTTGGTTGGATTTCATAAGGCATTTCTAGCTCCTGTTTGTATTTTCGATGTAGATTTTTTTCTCTTGTTGTACCAACTGGATCAGGGGGTCTGTGGAGTTTGCAGGGTCCAGCTGGACCATGCCTTTTCCTCCTGCTGTTCTTAGCAGGTAAATACACACACGTCAAATTGCGGGTGGTGCAGGTGGTGAGGAATTTGCAACAGGTATGGCGAGGGTGTTAATAGCTTCGAATCTGTTGATAGCATTGAGTTCACTCGTTAAGAGCATTTTAACCCGTCTGTAATATGCTTTCCTTACTTTCTTTTTCATGAGTGGTGTATACAGTCTCTTAATCTCCCCCTTGCCACACTTTTCGAGACCGAACTTCATTTCACACAAGATGGATAGTTCGTTTCTGTTTGATCTCTTTCTCAATTTTCCAAATTGGCTTTATGTGTTTTATTTTATTTCTTCGCTTGTTGGGTTTGATCTAGTTGTTCTATGATGGCACGCGCAGTTGCATATATCAGCTAGTTTATTTCAGCCATACAAAGCGGTGTTGGGATTGCTCTATTTACTGTTTCGACCGCTTGCTTCGCAGGGTGGTCTTTGGGATCAATTATCCAAGTGCGGATCTATCGTTTCGGATATTACAGAATTTAGACTATATTTTCATTAATGATATTTACAAACGGTGTTTTTTTAAATGCCATAATTATGATACTTTTTTTTGGCCGACCTGTCGCCCAATCGCCTGGCAGTCAGTGCACAATATAACTGTCACCCTGACGTTTAAATTCATTTTCACAGAAAAATTTTGTTCAATGTCATTCAAAAATATGAAGTTATTAGTCTGTCGAAATAACTACAAAGGTATTCGCAAACCTTGGCGAAAGCGAAAAAATAGCTTTAATTAAGACAAGTAAACTAAGCAGAAATTCGAATTCAGAAAGATAAAATCCAGTCCCGGTAACGCCCACAACGCGAAGACCTATAAAACATACATAAATCTATCAAAGTTACAAAAATTTAATCAATTCTTCGCCGTAATTGACCGATATTTGAGCGGTAATCAACTGAACTCTTTTATCTCGTTTCTGAAGCAGAAGTTGTGAATCAAATCAAATTTTTCTCTAACCCAACATATTTTCTGGTATTAACTCACCACTTGTTCTTGTAACTAATATAAT